TTAAATTAGGTTGCGGACATTCCGATCGATCATCCTTCATGTTCAAGTCAACATGCCGTCTTGCAATTTCGACAAGTAGCTATTACTGATACTGAAACAGGTGAACAAAAAACCGATATTAAACCTTACATAATCGACCTTGAATCGACCAACTCGACTTTTGTCAATAAGAAGCCCATTCCCACCTCACGATACGTGGAATTACGTGCATATGACGAAATCAATTTTGGGTTCAGCACACGTGATTACGTTTTACTTCATGAAGAATTAGCTGACTAAATAGTATTTTTTTTTTAATCAACTTGGTCTTGGTATTGCATTCATTTAAAACATGATCTTAATTCTTATATCATGACCGATATCAAATCGCGTGATGCTATGTTGGAAGATTCATTTATTTTACTTTTTTTTTTTTTCTTATATGATTTGTCTATGTTGGGGACTACATAATGCAAGTTTATAATCTTTAATATTACATCTAAAACTAGATTAAAAAAAAACAAAAAACCACATTAATAATGCACGTAAAAAAAAGTGCATGTGATTCAACCGGAAATTTCCGGCAGTCACTATCTGGCAAATGACTATCTGATTGGCTATCATGAGAAGATATCTATTGTTAAAAATGTCGAGACCAGTCGATTTCGTGATTGTAGGTCTTGGAAATCCAGAATCGGAATATGCCACCACACGTCACAATGGTTCTTGAATTTAATAATGTTGTTTGCGCGTATTCGTCGCGTTTATATTAGTCACTCAATTTCTTTTCCTTATACGCGTAATCTTATGTTTCAACAGCCGGCTATATATTTATTGACTATCTCGCGAATACAATGGTGCTTGCACAAGAAGGCGCTCAAGGTCCCCCTGTATTTTATAGACGATTTGACCTGTCAGGTACTAATCACGTTTTGCTCTTTTTTTTCTCCCACATTCCGAAATAATTAAAGATAATTGGATTTCGTTTTTTTTTAGCCGATGTCCGAGATACCGTATTTACGTTTACGACTGAAAGTGAAAATTCCACGGTATCGGTGAGTATT